AAGTTCATAACTCGGGGATCTGAGAAGCTAGAAGGCTGAAATTTTGAGGTAATGTTCCCCGCCCAAACGGCTATTAGTGGGCTCAAACCCAGCCCCCGGGTAGGCGTGGTACCTACGTACAGTCTCGTGAAAAGTTCCTTCCGGGTAAGTTACTGACTCGACAACGTGAGGAGCTAGAAGACTGGAATTTTGAGGGGATGTTTCTAACAGTTCTGCCGGCCAGTCTGAAATTCTTTCAACTAGAAGCATCTGCCGAAAAAACGATGCCGGTAGCGACAAAAACTGCGAGGAACTCTGCAAAAAACGCATCTTCGCACGGGCAGCCCGTGCGTTGGCCAATTTTTTTTACAGGTAAGCTAAAACTCTGCAAAAAACGCATCTTCGCACGGGCAGCCCGTGCGTTGGCCATTTACTTTTATCTTTTATCTAAACTCTGCAAAAAACGCATCTTCGCACGGGCAGCCCGTGCGTTGGCCATTTACTTTTATCTTTTATCTAACTCTGCAAAAAACGCATTTTCGCACGGGCAGCCCGTGCGTTGGCCATTTTTTCTTTACTTTCTCTGTGCACGTAGCTGCACACAAACAAACATTTCTCTCCTGGTTTGGTCTGTTTCACTCATTTTCAATCGAAAGCCAGAGAAGCTAAGGAGATGAAACTTTAAAAGGCCAGCGTTCGATTATACTGTAAAAAGAGAATCTCAATTTTTCATTTTCATGCGTTTTGCACTGTGCACAAGACGCATATTGTCACGGAGTTGTTTGTGTGTATGTGTGTCCGATGCATCTTGTCCGCAATTTCCGACTCGGCAACCTCAACAGCTAGGAAGCTGAAAATTTAGGGTAATTTCCCCCGCCCAGCTATAACTTCGCAGATTTAAATTCAGCTCTTCGCGCTCTCGTGTATCATCTAAAGCCCCGTGAAAGTTGTGACGGAGAAAATTATTATCTCGCGAACTACAAAAGCTAGGAAGGTGAAATTTTACATTAATGTCTCATGCTCAAGTACAACTTCATTACTTCCCCCTCGTCTGCGTACCACCTACTACCCTGTGAAAGTTTTGGCGGGAAAAATTACTATCTTGGGAAACAAGGAAGTTGGAAAGCTGAAATTTTAGGGTACAATCCCCTGTCTACGTACGATTCCGCAAATTCAAATTCTGGTTTCGCGTGCGCCTGGGTCTCAACGTCCCTGCAAAGGTTTTGGCGGGAAGATTATTACTCGGGAAAATGAAAAGATGTTTTTTTTCCGTCCAGAGTTTTAGTGTGAAATTTCGCAACTTAGGAACCAGGCAATATTTCATCATTTTTACACAGACCAAAGTGTAAAGAAGTAAAAATCCTTAGCAGGTTCGCTGGACAAACTGCGTAAACCACATGATCGCACCATCTCCCTGGTGCCTGCTGCTATTTATTGTTGTTAATGTGGAGGATGAAAAATACGACTGGTATGTCATAAACCGGTAGCAGGTTTTACATGCAACGTATTGCTGTGACAAATTGACGAAAGCGACAAATCCACAAAAAGTGTTTTATGAGCGAAAATATTCCTTTTTTTTTTCTGAAAAAATGTTCCCCGTTCGAATTTCAATTATCATATTGATGCAGTCACCTACATCGTTTAAAGTCTGAAAGCTTAGTTACTGTGAATGATTACTTAATTTTCTGCTTTAGTTGTCTTGTCGAAGAAAGTATGATTTTTCAGATTTATTTGCAATGTAGTAGAAGTAGTGAACTTGAATCTTAGTGAACTTGAATTACTTTGATTTTTAAGGACTTTTTGATTTATCATTCCAGAAATTATTTTATTTTTAGAAAAAGTGTTTTCGTTTCTCTTGAACTTGTTAAATTGTTATCTGTGTACTAGTAGTGGGATAGAATCCAAAGCGTACTGATTATTGGCTCTACTTTACGTTTTTGATAGTATTTCACATCAAAAATTGGGTTTATCTTTCTGGCAGCTTTCGTCATAGGGGTTAGTCAGCGTGTTCTGTCGATTTCCTCACTACAGTTGTTTAAGAGCACTGGAACGAAAGACAGTGGTGAAGAGTGAAGCTTAAAAAATAAGTTTTCCTCAATCAAATTTGGCGAAAAAAGAGAATAAGAAAAACAAATAATTGGCCAACGCACGGGCTGCCTGTGCGGAGATGTGTTTTTTGCATAGTTCCCCGCAGTTTTTTTCGCTACCGGCACCAATTTTTCCGGCAAATGCTTCTAGCTAAACAAATTAAGACTGATCGCCAGAATTGTCAGGAAATACCCCCTTAAGATTTCAGCTTACTAGCTTTCCTGGCCGTTGAGATGGCAACTTACCTGAAAAAAACTTTCACGAGTGCATACGTGGGTGCCACGCATACCCTGTTTCTGGGTTTGAGCTCACTAACACCCACATGGATGGAGAACAACCGCTTAAAATTCCGATCTTCTGGCTTTTTAGATTCCCGAGCTAGCAACTTACCCGAGAAAAATTTCGGCGCGCCCGTACGTGGGTACCACGCAATTCCGGGGGCTGAATTTGAAGCTCATTAATACCTGCGCGGACGAAGAACGTCTCCTTAAAATTTCAGCTTTCCGGCTCCTCTGGTTTTCGAGTTAGCAGCTTGCTTGTAAAAAACTTTGGTGGGCCCACACATGGGTACTACGCGGGTAAGGGCGCCCATTTCGGGGACGGTGGTCTGTACATGCATGTGGATTTAGTTCCCAGAATTTCAGCCCCGTAACTTTTGTAGATCTCGAGATGAAAAATCGGTAGAAGAACACAAGACACACACACACACATACAGACAACTCCTCGTCGATATGCTATTAAAACCTACGACTTTTCGCTCCGTAGTAGCTCTTTTCTTGTACTTTTAAAATTTAATGAGCAAAAAGGAATCTGTGACTTGCGAAACGTAATTCCTCTGAAGTAATGTAAAACCATTGGCGACGCGCACCAGTTGGTCTCGTGCGATCATGCGTTTTTGCAGAATTTCTTGCTGTTGTAAGATCGGTCGGGAACCCACTAGCTGGATATTGTGACATACTTGTCCTCGGAGTTTGGGAAGTTAATTGTGCAACTGCGCGGTGCTTGGGCAGTGAACATTCCGTTAAAATTGAGCTTCCCAACTTTTCCGGTTCCCGAGTTAGCATTTTCCGGCCAAAAACCTTCACAAGGCTGTACCTGAGAGGCACGGCCATCCGAGGGTTGAATTTGAAATCCTTGTGTTCTACGTGAACGGGGAACTTCCTCTGAAAATTTCAGTCTTCCAGCTTTTCTAATCCCCGAGTTAGCCGTTTTTCCGCCAAAATTTTCGCGTGGTTGCAGGCGTCCTTGAAGGTTCGTGCTGTGGTCCTGGAGTTGCACTTGGCCGAGTAACTTGCTGACAAAATTTTGGCGCTGTAGCTTGCCTGGTGCCGAGTTGAAATACCTGGACGGACGCGCACATATAAATACAAACATACACCGGGGTCGTCACAATATGCGTTTTAGATTTGCATATATGCAAAAACGCATAACAGTGTGTGATGCATTAATTATAATTTGTTGAAAAATTATGTTCAGGGCACATTGTGTTTCGCTCGCTGAAGTGTTGTAAATGTGAATTGAATCTGTGTCTTTTTCTTTTATATGCAAATTTATGAATTTGTGTAATGTAACTCTGTGTCGGGTAAGAAATCGAAATTCGAATATGACAAAAATTTGCATAAATATGCGTGGTGCATAAATAAAACATGTCTGTTGGGTCTAAAACTCAGTGAGGGTGTCGCAAGTTCACTGCTTTGATATTCTGAT